CTACGGATAGAACTGGTCTAAAACATTTTAGTCAAAGTAAACCTGTGGATCGGAAATAGGTCAATCAATTGTTTCATGTAGTATTTTCAGAATTATTATCATCGTGAATAATACTGACACTGATTGTAAATTGCCGGATATCGAGTATGGTTGTTTGGTGATATAGTCATCGATCCGATAATAGTGGTGGTGTCATCAGTGCCATCATTCTTGCATCCATCTATGAATATAGATTTGTAACTGTTGTATGTGTTTCGTAACTTAGTCTTCGTATTGAATAACAATAAGATGATGTGTTTCAGGTTTCGTTAGTTTGGTTAATGGTAGGCCCATCTCTGGTTCCATTTACTGCCATGGCAGAGAAGGCAAATTCTGTGTGGGGCTATATTTTCCAGATAGATTTTAGCAGTTTGCATTCTTATTATATAGACCGAGAAGATTATGACATGGGTTTTTTAATGCCAGATTTCTTCATAAAATTGATTAAGAACAGGTATATGGATTTAGTGGAACGTAATTTAGAAACATACTGCTAAGATACTTTTATACAAAATTGTTATTTGATGGGTCATAGGCCTCCACATACAAACTATGAATAGGTGACGTTCTGAAGGCCCCAAGGCAGAGCTTCAGGATTTGCTGATAAAGCGAATCTAATTATTTTATACTGTGTTTACATATACATACTGTGTTCATATATTGATGGAGAAGTAATCAAGTTTAGAAGGGATTTGTGCTCTGTATAGTTCGAGTTTGAATTTATATTACATGCGAAGACAAATCTTTCAAGGTATAAAAACGAGCAACAGTCCATAAAAACGACATACCTTAAAAATGAGCAAGTACACAAGCAAGTTCACACAAGGCTACTATACGTCGATTGAGGCTTTGTGGAAGGCCCTTCTATATCCGGGGACGGATTTGGCATAATTCCTCTAGAGTTGTAGGGGGCTTTGGATTATGTCCCGAAATTTGCTTCATTTCATGCGAGAAGTGTTAAATGTAAATGTAAATTAGGGAATATGCAGACAAGGGTAACACATTAATATTGGTCTGCTGTACAACTCCAGCAACGTGTGGCCTGGTGTTATCCTGTTAAAGCATCATTCCAGGGTAAAAACGGTAAAACGGACATTTGCAAAATCTCACGGTACACATTCTCAAACACTGACGTCCTTGCCTCAGCCATGATTAAACCTCATTTGCGAAGTATGATGCGGGCTTGCATCCATCGGTCTTGATGTCAAGTATGTACTAGTGGGCAGCCACCATCTGAACGGTCAATAACTTGATTGTTTTGTGGCCATTGGTGTTTCTATGGAGCGTGACGCTGCTTCGAGGTAGCAGACTGAAGTTAACTTGTTTGAGTGGCATTTTAGAAGTTTAGACGTACAATATAGAACAAGTTTTATGGATAACAACTTCTTTATTTCGTGAGTGCGACGTTTCGATACAGATTCTTGTACCGTTGTCAAGCAGGAGCGATATGGATAACAACTTCTTTATTTCGTGAGTGCGACGTTTCGATACAGATTCTTGTACCGTTGTCAAGCGGGGAGTCATCGACGTTTCGATACAGATTCTTGTACCGTTGTCAAGCAGGAGTCATCACTCCTGCTTGACAACGGTACAAGAATCTGTATCGAAACGCCGCACTCACGAAATAAAGAAGTTGTTATCCATAAAACTTGTTCTATATCAGACTGAAGTTGTTCGACAAGCCTTTCGCATAGTGATGAATAGAGGTGTTTTCCCACTTCAGCACTGCTTAAGAATGCTTTGAGAGGAAATGGTATGAGTCACATCAACCTTATACCTTCTAGCTTTTGAGAAAGAAACTGGAGCCAACCTCTCTCCACCCAAATAACCGATGCGTTTACAACTGCTGTACTTCCACATGGGACTGTTTGCCTTTTTACGCTCGAAAAGATTCATACAGAATGCCGTATTGTCATCATGGAGGTTTTATAATAGATTTCAAATGATTTATGGTACTGATTTTTTTTCTGAAATCACTTTCAATGTTGGTTTGAGGTTTGTGGTTTACAATTGGCAAACTGGGTGAATGTTTATCATACGCTTCGATGTCTTCACAGCTTGTAAATGATATCAGTTTTTAATTAGGAGGCTCAGAATGATCTTGACCAGGTTCAAGATAGTCCACATATTGTTAAAGATATACAGCACTGATTGTAGACACATTCTGGGTAAATGTTTAAGAGCTGCTAATCTTCGGGCGGGAAGCAGAAATGTTGAATTATTGGCCATGAAACCTTTCGTTTATATCATAATTTTCTGTTTATGCAGTCAGGCGCGTATAAGCAAATACACCCCCTTTACATTTCTAAATATTATCTGCCTGGTGATATAATATATTGTCAGTAGTACTGCACCCTAAACAAAATCTGTCTTAACATTCTAGAAGCATCGTCACAAATCTTACAAAATATTTGTAAAGGCTTATATAAGATGAAGATGAATTGCTTACCAGATGTGTTCATCGAAGTAATGCCTCTACTTTTCCCCCAGCAGACAAGTTGTCAGAATTCTTTAGTACTCTCTTGAAAATACAGAGATGTCCAGAGAGTTATCCTAAATAGTTTCAGCGAAATCGTTCTTAGAAGTTTGTAGAAGTTATCTTTGTACTCTGAAATGTTATGCCCTAATCGACCGACAGTAATATCTTCAGGCAGAATCCAGCTTATGCGTCCGCAAGTCAATCCACCACAGACGTTGCAAGATCTTCAACGTCACCTTGTTGAGCAATGGCGACGTCTTCCACAGGGTATGTTCACTAACAATCTAAGATCCATGAGAAGGCTGTAAGAGACGCTAGAGGAGGCCACAACCCTTACTGAAGACCTTACTCGAATTGTTCTCTACGCTGTGGATATCTTTTTGAAGGGTACTTTGACATCATGAACGTTATCGTTGCTAGAGAGTTTTGGCGAGACTTGTATTTTTTTCCTTTAATGTCAAGATGTTTTGAAATGGTAAGGCTGAACTTGGCCACTTGAGGTAGTGACCACAGCATTCTGGTTACACTATATGGAGAGAGGACAGAGCTTGGCAAGATACTAATACAGATGCCTGTCATTTAAACCATTATCTGATGTTTGTGGAATGTGATTTTTAATTGAGCATGACTCCCACACCTGTAACCCTAATGCAGATGTTGTTAGGCTGTGAATTTGCCAAATCATTGGGTTTTTAAAAATTTGAATTAAGTTCGTTTCGTTTTTTCAAAATAATTTATTTCGAGATACTAAGCTTCAATTGTGCCCATGTCAGAAATGGGGTTTCGACCTGACGAGCGAACGCTCTAACCACGAGGTACCCCATAGAGCCTTGACACTGTTAAAGAAATATACATTGATACATTTATTATAAATTCAAGATGGAACCCAGTTTTATCAACACATATCCTTCGGTTTTTACGTTAGTGACATGATCTGCACACTGATCTTTCAAAATTAATAATTGCTCGCAATCCTTGACCCAAGTGGTTTTCCACTTATTAAGAAATAATTTTCAGTTTCCAATTCTTGGAAATTCTGTCCCACCTTATAACGGTAAAGTACACGTAATATGTGTTGATACTTTGATATATTATATCTATGATGGTGTTATACCAAAAAGATTAACATAATTATATAATGGATTGCAAAACAGACAGAAAAAAGCAGACATAAAGAGCATTAGCAATATAAATGCTGCCTGGTAGCAAGTTTTGAAATAACTGACCATAACCTTTTTCTGTGTTCATTTGCTCTATGACTAACACATGAAATAATCTATTTTTCCATTCGCTTCTAATTAAAGTTTGGAGAGAAAATTAATTTACAGTGGATTTTGCCCATGATAGTTTGAGGGTTTAAGCAAGGAAGGTTTAGAGAACACCAAAATAAGATATAATAGTCTGGTAGCATTTGTTTTGATAGAATAATATTGACATAAGATGTTGCAATGCGTCTAACATGTAAAAGGTGGAGTAAATGGATCACTGGATATCATGTAGATATTGTACTATTTCATGATCACGTGTCTCCTACGAGCAAATATGGAGCAAATATACGTTAGATTAACAGGATACTTATGTATATGACTGTGTTACATAGCATAGACTGGAGTTAGGACGCCTGTTTTATGTGTAAAATATATTTTAATGACCATTTTCCATAGATATGTACTCTTATTCCGAACAGGTCAGCAATATCAACTAAAACTTCAAATTGATCATCTAACCTACTTAGTTATCTTAGCTTAGTAACCAATTGCAATCAGTAGAATTTTCTAGTTTATACCCAAAGTTTGTACTCAAAATGGGTGTACAGTCCATTCCAACGGGTAACTGGAATTTGAGAAAATGTCCGTATGGGATAATATCTGGATTCCGAATCAACAAGAGGTTACACCAAGTGTGTGCATGGTTACCTTTTTCACAACAACGTGAAAACAATGGTCAGATGTAAATACAGAGTGGAGTGTTCGTTGATTTATACACCCCTTTAAACGTGTGTAAATCTGACAGCTAGATGATAAATCGTTAATTCTAATGTGAGTAAATTTGGGAAATACAGTTCCTTCGTGTTTTGATATATTTCATACAGTGACATTTTTCCTATTTGAATAGGAAATATTCCCCGTAATCAGATGCTTTTACTTCCCTATTTTCTGATGTTTATTATTTTCTTAATCAGGTACGACAGGCTGAAATATTCAGACTGATTGACTGACTGAGTTAGGTTTCACACCGCTTTTAGCAATATTCCAGCATCATCACGGCGGGGGGACACCAGGAATAGGCTTCACACATTGTACCCATGTGGGAATTCGGACCCGGGTGTTCGGCGTGACGAGCCAACGCTTTTACCACTAGGCTACTCCACCGCCCCGAAGTATTTAGATATTTGAACACTTGTTAAACTCGTTTAATCCGAATAAGGTCACATGTAGAATGTGTACCCAGAAGTAAGACATGACAGACAATATATACTCACTTGATACACTGCTCATGATACGCCTCTTCTCCCTCTACACATTGAGTCCCTGGTGGGATATCCTGACCACAGTAACTACATAGTAACATCTCATCGGGACTCCATGGGTTGTTTTACATTACAGTGAGTGAGAATCTGGAACATAAAAGAATATGTTCTTGTTATGATGATGTGTTTTTGTTAATTATGTCACAGTAATTAACTTTTCCTTACGTAATCACGGCCAAATCAGTAAAAAATATATATTTTTTTACTCAGTGAGAGATTCGATCTCTCGCACGTCATGCCATTTCGTCTTCGCTTAGTCTCTCCACTTTCCCACGGAACCACGAAGAATTCTGATTATAGCTCGTATTAATTATACAATAAAAACCATAAAAAGCTAAAACCGTAAGCGACTAATACAATAAACTCCACTGTTGCGATCACCTAGCTCAGTAGCACTGAATAAGATGGAGGACTCTCACTCATACGACCCGGGTTCGATTCCCGATATTTTATATTTGTGACTCAATTGTATTGTGTATGAAATAAGGGTAGATTTCTGCCGGACTGTCTAATTTTGCAGCCGATGGACGGGTGAGAAAAACTAGTCAGGTAACGTGTCCACTGGCACTGTCTATTTAGTATTTAAGAAGGACTGGTTAAATGTCTTCTGGGCTGGTAAATTTTTGAAATTCCCAGCCCAGATGTATTGGCTCATTTCATAGGCTGCTGTCATTCATTGTAACATTGTTTATTCAATATATACACATGGAACTTAATTAAGCACCACCTAACATATTTTAAGTTACTGACCTAATGATAAATCTTGAATTGTAACGATGAGTAGTATGTGAACTGTATTCCCTTTCACAATTGTTTCAGGGTTTTGCTAAATCAATCACCAAAACACATTCCAATATGCACGTGAAGCACACTACCCACGATTGTTTCTAAAACCACTATTGACCCAATGCGGCAAAGGGTATAAAATTCCAAACCTTTTCAATGATTTTATCAGTATCTGCTACAATGGTACGAAGGAGACTACCAGAAGCAAGAAGACGGCAAATTATTGGAATGTCATGCAGGGCTTGTTCAAAAACACCGTCAAACCAACAATGTTCAGGACCGACCAAGGCAAGGTGATCCCCGAAAGATGTCTCGAGTTCAGGATTGGGATTTATATCACGCCTTGTCACAGTTGTGAGACGTCAGCCTTTCACTACAAGTGGCGTCCTGAAGCACCTATGGCTCCCCAACAGACGTCTGTACAATATGACTGGGTAAGACTTCCTCCTGTTCCCCCATCCCAAATAATATGTAGAAGTTAATATATCCTAACATTATTAACAAAACCTAACACAACAATTACTAGAGAACTCACAAAAATACCTTAAAGCCCGCAAATTAAGTACAATACATATGGTCGAACCACGTTGTATGATAAGGGCCCAAGGCACACAGTGATGTTACAAAAACAATATTGGGGAACGGAAGGAAAGCTTTCCTATGACTGTAAGAAACCGCAAAAAGGCACATGGGATGAGGGCAAGAAGGGTGATCAAGCGTCCAGCCTAGAACAATCTTCACAAAAGAGCTCGTTTGGAGTGGTGTTTAGATTTCCAGCCTAATATTTATTAATTACTCACGTACAATATATTTAATTCAACATTTTAAGAGCCACTCGTGGCATATCACATCGTTCTTCGCCTCCATTACCCCTGCTGCCTTCCGGGTCAACGGAGTGAAGGAACAAGAATAAGCAGAAATTAAAAAGAAATATCATATTGCCTAATTTTACCATTAACCTGTTGGAGATTATTTTTCTTATCTCCTATCGTTATTGTTAAAATTTTCGTAACATTTGTTCTACAAAAAATACATCTGGCGTAGTGGGCGAATGAAGCAAGGGAGGTAACTCCGCAAGTATTCCATATGGCGGACATGTCATTCAACAAGTTTATTTAGATTTAAGTCCCTTTAGATTTAAGTCAGACACTAAATTACTGTTTTTTGAAGAAAGGCGGACATTATGCAATTAGTTGCCAGGTTTGCTATCTTGGGTGACCAATGAGACTATACACCAATGTGAAATACCTGAAAAGTTTTATCACTTTTTCGTATATTAAACTGTTAAAAGACACATCACTTTGAACAGCTGCAGATGAATGGCATATTACTCGTTTTTTTGTGGATATTGATGTATACATTCCTCGAACAAGGTAATAGCCTGACATTGTTCCTATAACTTTAATCTGTTTTAACTTTAATATTTGCATTTTGTTTTTATTCATTTGTCGTAGCATTCAACTGAATCATTGTTTTCGCCGTGAAGTGTAATGAGACAGACAACATACACTAGGGTGTGTGTGCGAATTATGATTCACATTGGAAAACTATAAAATGTCTAGATATTACAGTTCTGTTATAAATTCACTATGAGTATCAGCAGATCGTCTGCTTTTTATTTAGTTTCAAAATGCATACAAGTATGATAATAAACTAATTAGGATTATAAGACCAAATATGAAGACGCACATTGACTAGTATCTACATATTGGTGAGTGGACATTAACCACGTGAATGTAGCAAGAAATTTATCGCGCAGTATTGTGACTTCAACCCCCACCCCGCTTCCCTGGAAGAAATCATTATGTTATAAGTTGTGTCATGCAAAATCCTTTTGGTTATGATTACAATACATATTTAACTACGAGTAGAAAGTAGTTTTGATTTTCTAACTTGATGAAAACAAACCATAATCTCATTAATTCTAACAGACTTTAGCCCGTCACTTTACGACTTTTAAAAATGGCGGCGCCCTGTCGCGAACATCCGCCAGTCTGAGGATAAATGCTATTTAGGTTTGTTTTCGCTGAGTTACAAAATCAAAACTACTTTCTACTGGTAGTAAAATATGTATTTTATTGATGGCCAATACAAGATTTTGCATGACATAGCTTATAATATAACAATTTCTCTCGTGGCAGCGAGGTGCGTGTCGATATAATACCACTTACAATGTTATTGTTACTTCGACCACAACCTCGCTTCCGAGGAAGAAATCGTTATGTTACAAGTTGTGTCATGGAAAATCTTTATGGTCATCAATCATTTACATATTTTACTACAACTAGTAAGTAGTTTTGATTCTTTAACTTCCGTGAAGCGATCTGAACACAAGTAAGATATCGTTCCAGGCTTCCACAACGGTCGCTTCGCACTCACAAACATAACCCATTTAGCACGAACTGCGGGGTCCTGTGGAAATCAGTGCATGGTGACACCATCACCTGACCCCTAGGAGCAATTGACGACAAAGCAACGATTCGACATGTCGTCGTTGAAGTCAAGAAATCATCAAAATGATGAGCGTGCTACACACTTTCTATACAACTAACTGAAAATCGTTTCTCATATGACGTCACTGCAGTGCTCTGGCAACAGAGTTACGTAACCTGTCTGTGGTTTCGTTGGCGGGCGAGAGTGAAGCAGGCGACTATTTGGAAACTTTTAATCGCTTGGTATTAATTAACCACAAGTTTTTTAAGAATGAATTTGGTGTTCCCCATAAGTCCAACCACAAATCTTTCATATGTAATAGTTAAAAGAGTACCAAAAAACAGAGTTTATTTCTTCTTCAAAATGTTGAATTAAATATATTATACGTGAGTAATTATTAAATATGAGGTTGGAAATCTGAGAGCACAACCCTGTGAGGAAATGGGTGTCTACCTTTGATGGTGGCGATATTGTATTTTGATATTCAAAATATTTTTTGAACCGAAGCGAGAGAAGTATGTTGCCAACCTTTGCTTGGTTCGCTCGCATAAAGGAAGTCTGGTCAATTTCTCTTTGTTGCGCAACCCTATTTGCGCTACAATTTGCCTGTGATTGGTCGGATTAGAGTCGCTGTTTATTGCACGTCACAGACGGACGCCAGCGAGTATGGAGGACCAAGAACAGTGCATATTAATTAAGTTCCATGTGTATATTATTGAATATATTAAACTAGTCTGTGTTCTATTTTGTTAGTCTAAAGGGGACTGACAAGCCTTTTATCTCAGTAATTTCTAAACCGTAATAATGTGTTTTTTGTTAATTATAATTATCAAACCTTTAGTACTGATGCTTCTATTGCATCGGCAGTTGTCCCCTCACTAGTGAGCGTGTTGCCAGACTGGCTTGAGCAAGACGCGTTTACCTATGGCAAGTCCGTAACTGGAGAATAGTCTTTTTTTCAGAGGAAAGTCGTTTCTCCCTACACAAGGCTGATGGCAGAGAGAGGGTATACCCACAGAAAAGGGAGCGTCTGGCACCCCAGTGTGCCCCAGAGATCCTTCCTTATGGCGGCGTCGGAGTTATGGTTTGGCGAGGCATATGTGGCAACCAAACGACACGTCTGGTGATCATTGATGGAAGACTGACAGCCAACGAGAATATCAACCAAGTGTTAACGCCTCTTGTCTTGCCATTTGCAGTATCCATCAACAAAGAATTTTATTCCAGCACAACGCCAGACCCAACATTTGCAGGAATCTGGTTAGACGCTGATCCAACGTACCCATTTCGACGTCTAAGCCTATAGGTTGATAAAACGTTTAAATGATTTTTAAATTTCGACATTCTAGAAACTATATAGAAACTGAGTGTGCAACAGTTAACCATTTTTCACAATATGATGTTGTGAAATTAATATGTGTAAAGTAAGATGATCCCACAATATTTTGGGGATAGGTATGTTTCGTACGCATAATATTTGAAAAAAAGCAAAACAATAACTACAGTTCTTGTGATCCTGTACATAAAAACTATGTGAAGTTAATCTTAAAACGCCTTTAAGATACTGTCTGTGTAAATTGGAACCTGATCCCAGAAGTATCAGTGTAACTAGTAGACAGTCCTGACTGACTTACGCCCCATAAACTACATCAGATGTCGCCGCAAGATCCCGTGCACGCGCAGTTATTTGTGCGCTATTTTATGACTCGGAGTTGCAGTTCTATGCTGTCAGCGATAAACAATCTCACTATCTGATTGATTCGAGAAGTTTTTACTTTAACGATCGTCATATTCATCCTAAATTCACGGTAAGACATATGTGGTATTCTGCAATGTCTGAAAATATATAAA